ATGGAAGGGAGAAAGCAAAAAGGATATCGGAGATTTTTGTCCCTTCTTTGCTCATTCCCATACATAGAATGGAAAATAAATCATTTCTGATATCTCAGTTACATCTAAGCCACATGGGATGTGAATCTGGCTATTGCCTTTCATCAAAGGATTTCTAAACATCTCTTAAGTGTGTCAATAATCTTCTAAATACTCTTGTGAAATTGTAGCTGGCAGTATTATCATCTCTGCTATAGTGAGGGATACAGGGAAGCAGTGACATACTAAATGATGTTTATATCTTCCATTCAGAAATTTCCTAGTAGTTTACAGGCCAATGTAATGATCAATTTTATGAATCTTAGTGAGATTATGTGATTTGCCCTACCTTAGGGGAAGAATTTCTGGATCTCTGAGTCTTACCTGCTTTACTAAGTTAATTTTTCCCCCAACACACACTAACCCTCAGCTCTGCTATTCAAAATTATATTTATTCAGTGTTTTTAAAGTCCTGTAGGAGAAACTCAGATCATTAACTTGAGGAGTTTTTGAGGTATTTCTGGTTCTTATTTAGGAATCAAATGATAGTTCATTTTTTTTCTAGAATAATTTATTTAATATTGTCACCACTGTTGGTAACATTATATAATAAAATTCATCCACTTCCTCTGTTCTGAGAGTTCTATTTTGGATATGATCAAGTGATAAGTTAAATGAAATAGGAGAGGATAGTCTTAGTAATATGACTAGTGCTACAAACATAGTTACTTTCTATACTTGTTAATATAAAATTTCATTTCATATGTGTATCTTAAATTCTTCTTAACAGCAGTAATGTAGCATCCAGAATTTTTATCTTGGTGTATCTAAACCCAGGATACCTCAAAATGGAAAATAGTATTTAAGTTATGAGCCCAAGTGTAAATTTGTATTAAGCTGGAGGTGAGAAGTTAGAATACAATAGATAGGTGCCAATTGAAATAATTAATTTTTAAAATTATGTATGTAATAAAATTTACCATTTTAACCATTTTTAAGTGTACAGTAATGTGTCATTAAGTACATTTACATTGTGCAGCTATTACCATCATCCATCTCTAAAACTTTTTTCATCTTGCAAAACTGAAACTTTGTACCCATTAAACAGTACCTTCCTATTCAGCCCTCCTCCCAGCACCTGGCAACTACCATTCTATTTTCTGTCTTTATGACTCTGACTACTTTAAGTACCTCATTTGAGTGGAGTATATCTGTCCTTTTGTTAATGGCGTATTTCACTTAGCATATTGTCTTCAAGGTTCATTCATGTGGTGGCACGTGTAAGAATTTCTTTCCTTTTTAAGGCTGAATAATATTCCATTGTATTCCAAATGTATGTAACACATTTTGTCTACTCCTTCATCTGTCACTGGACATTTGCATTGCTTTCACATTTTGGCTATTGTGAATAATACTGCTGTGAACATAAATATTTGTTCATGTCCCAGCTTTCAATTCTTTTGGGTATATATCCAGAAATGGAATTACTGGGTTATATGCTAATTCTATGTCAGGTTTTTGAGGAACTGTTTTTCACTACAGCTGTACTATTTTACAGTCCCAGCAGCTGTGCCCAAGAGTTCCAGTTTCTCCACATCCTGGCCAACACTTGTTTTTTGTTTTTTTGATGTTAGCCATCCTAATGGTTGTGAAGTGGTAGCTGATTGTGCTTCTGATTTGCATTTCCCTAATATTAGTGATGTTGAGCATCTTGTGTTTATTGGCCATTTGTGTATCTTTGGAGAAATGTCTGTTTAGTGTTTTGTCTGTTCATGGGTGTCCATTTTTTTAAACCAAGGGAGCAAATTTAAGAGGTGCTTATAACATTACAAAACTACCAGAGATGTATCACTTTTCAGTGCTAGCTAAGACTGTCAGAAATTGGATAAATAGGAAAATATTTATCTCATATATCTAAACAAGTTTTGTCTGTTCTTTCTTTATAAGGTTTCATCCATCTCTTCCTCTCTCTTTCTATTAACATCATCATACTCCACTTAACATAATCTCCTGTTTGTATAACAGTTGTTTGTGGATAAAGAGTGGGTTTGAAAAATGGTAACGGCATATAGTAAGTGCTATTTTCATGACTGATATATTGACAGTGAGCCCACTTCTAATAGAATGGGAAAATAAATGGTCATAAATTCCTGTAATAGGTTTACTCTTCTTACTCTGCTTTAACTCCTCAGTTCAACAAATATTTATTATGCACAGGACTTGAGACCTAAGTTTCTCTCCCTCAAGCTGTGTGACAGTGGACAGATCACACCAACTCTTTCTTATTGGATGTACTAAGTGATTTCTTAGATTTCTTCTAGAAATTTATTAAATCTTTTATACTTCTTTTAAATATTACCAGATTTTGCTTATTAAATACCTGAATTACCTGAAAACACATTACCCACAATAAATCATGCTTCTAGATTCTTACTAAAGTATTAAAAAGTGGGAGATAACAGTCTAACTTGACTAACTTAATTTGCCTGGGGTTCTTAGATCAACCTAGTACCTAAACAAGAAACCTTTTCAATCTAAGGATTTAATTACTTTCTCTAAGAATTAACTAACAATAATACAGCAATAATATTTTGAACAGATAATTCAGGGTGTGGTTTGTGTCCTTTTAATAGGTAATATTGCATCTTAATATTTAAAAATAGATGATAAAAAATGCTGTACTGTGTACTTTTCAGTTTTTATTTCTACTTTTGAAGTTTTATGAAATATCAAAACATCTCATGTATCTGAAGAGGGCAATATATATGCCACAGCTAAATACTAATACATTTTGGGTTATCTGCCCTTTTTATTTGTTCATGTCTCTGTTTTCTTCCTGTTACATTAAGAATTCACATTAAATTTTTAGATTTCAAGTGGACTTCTAAAAGGTATGAGTAATTTTTTGAAACATAAAATCTAGAGGACTTGAAGAGGGATTTTTCCAGGAAAGAGATACAGATGGCCAACAGACATGAAAAAATGCTCCATATCACTAGTCACCAGGGAAATGCAAATCAAAACCGCAATGAGATATTACCGCACACCAGTTGGAATGGCCACTATCCAAAAGACAAGAAATAACAAGTGTTGGCAAGGATATAGAGAAAAGGGAGCCCTCCTACACTGTTGGTGGGAATGTAAATGGTGCAGTCACTGTAGAAAACAGTATGGAGGTTCCTCAAAAAACTAGAAATAGAAATACCATATGATGCAGTAATTCCACTTCTAGGCATTTACCCAAAGAAAACAAAAATCCCTGATCCAAAAAGATATATGCATCCCTGTGTTTATCACTGCAGTATTTACAAGAGCCAACATATGGAAGCAACCTAAGTGTCCAACAATAGATGAATGAATAAAAAAGGTGTGGTACCTACACAATGGAATATTCAGCCATTAAAAAGAAAGAAATCCTGCCATTTGTGACAACATGGATGAACCTAGAAGGTAGTATACTAAGTGAAATAAGCCAGGCAGAGAAAGACAGATACCATATGATTTCACTTATTTGTGGAATCTAAAAACAAAGCAAAAGTAATAGCAATAGACCCATAGACACTGAGAAGTGACTGGTGGTTACCATGGGGGAGGGGTTGTAGTTCGTAGGTAGGGAAGGTGAAAGGGATGAAGGGAAACAGAAATCTCAATCATAGTATAAGTTGGTAACAAGGATGGTAGTACAGCTTGGGGAATACAGCCAAAGGTCTGTAACATGTTTCTATGTGCAACTTGGGATAAGGGTTTAATAATGTGAGTAACTGTTGCACCACTGTGTTGTATACTTGAAACCAATATAATAATTGTATATCAGCTATGCTTCTATGAAAAAAAAAGAAAACAACTAATCTCAAGAAATAATGTTAAGTTAGACTAATGTGGATATAATAGCAAAATTAAGTGGACTGTTTTTAGATTAAATTTTTATATTTAATATTTACTGCAGTAATTTTTATAAATTATCCATCCCTTCTATTTTCTCTTGCTCCTGTCACTTGTTTGTCAGTAGTCATTTATGCATAGTCATTTCGAGGACCTATAAAATATTTTTTTGTTTTCTATACTACAGCCTTTATAACACAATCTTTTTTTTTTACTTTTTGCTTTATGCTTAAATTCTCTAATATTTTAAGTAACTTCATTTCTGTTTCTCAGGGATCCAGAAAGTACTTTTAAACTGCATTTATCACTGGGAAAACTAGTTTTAATTTATATCGACCTTTTTCTCCTTTGAGCATTTAGTGTGCATTCAATAAAACGTTGATGACTGCTCTTTAGAAGACAGCTGTACGAAATAAAGTATTATAAATATTCAGCTTTCCTTTCTAAGCATTGTCACCAACAGCTGGGCATCTAGTTTGGCAGAACAGATTTTGCACAGAGTGAGCCTAGTATGTTCCTGAATCAGTTTAGTGAAGGAGACAAAAAATAGTTTCTTATAGATTGGGGACTTATAAAGACATAGAGCATCTGTTCCTCAGTTAAGTCATAGTCTGATAGCACTGAATCATGTTTAAAGCTAGAATAATGTGCAAAACTTTTTTCACCTTCCTTATACCTGTATTTTGATACATAGTGCATTATTTCTCCAAATAATAATAGTATATTTTCAGCATCTCCATTGCAGGTATGTAAAATATTTTGCCTTTCTGTATAATTTATTAGTGGTATTTTAGAACACACAAACATTAATTTTTTATGTTTATAATGACCTTAATGTATGAGTTGTATGAAGTGCATATATAAAAACCACATATTTTTAAAGATCCAGTTAAAATATTTAATTATGATTCCATTCTGAAATATGCTATTAAAAAGACAGATTCATCATTGTGGAAATGGCTTGGCTTTCTGCATATAGTATGCTACTTTAGTTGAAGAAAGTAAGTTAGGATCTTTGTTTACATATATTACTCTTAAATATTTGGCTGTTTAAGTTTAGCATATCAAAATCTAAGATTTCTTTATATTTTTATTTGCAGTGTTAAAAGATCACTGAAACTGGATGGTTTGTTAGAAGAAAATGTAAGTATTTATGAGTTTGTCATTGCATAATGGATTGTATTTTAAATTTTTTAATAGCTAATTTACCTTATAAATATAAGTGACCCTACTAAATATAAAAATTATCAAAAAATACTGCAATGTAATTGTGATTGGTCACCATTTTCTACATACAGAATATTCTTCGAAATCTAATATATGTAAGTTCCTGGCCATTTTGACGTTTTCATTGAAGAGGCAAATTATTTAGAAACCTTAATGAAATAATTTAATAGATATTAATTCACTATTTGTAGAAAAAAAATACTCTGCCACTTAAATGCACAAGAAACAATATGGAATAATGGTAATGCTTTAATCCACATTCTGCAATCTGCTAAATTGAAATAAAAACATTAACAGCATATTTGTATCAAAAATTTAATTACCTCCCTCAGTTATGCTGGCATGATTAAACAATAAAATACTAACTCATAAATACTAATAAATCTCACCATGGTTGTCACAATAAAAATAAAATTGTACTGTTGCTATTACTTTTTGTAAACCTACTCATAGTACATTCCCAGTGCCAGCTCTCATGACATATGTTGGTTTATTATCTTTTCATAGCAATGGATCTTGACACAGTATTAATACTGAGATACTTATAGCCTCAGTAATCTTAAATGCAAGTAAATTGATGACAAAGTAAATTAAAACAAATAGCTAGTCAATAAGTAGGCTCTTATAAAATCCCATATGAGACTACCGTTTTAAGAAATGGGTTTTATATGGAATTTCTCTTTGGAAGACTCATTGATATATATTTAACAATGTACCATTTTAAACACTTCCTAGGTGCTTTAAAAAAAATTTAAACAAAAGTGGCAAAATACTGCAATGCCACTAAAAAAATCATTAGCAGTGTAATTAGCAATTTAGAGTACCATTATCCAACTTGTTCTGTAAAGAATGCAGCTGTGGCTGTAATTCTGCATCTGTTTCTTTGGTCAGAATGGTATTTTGGTAGATGAGTAGTCCAGCTTGAAATGAAATACTGTTCTTTTCTGTCCCCAAACTGTTTTCTGGCAGATAGTAACATTATTTGAATGGAAAAAAATTGCCATTTAGGAATTCACCCTCTTCATGAAGTACAGTTATCTTCGTAGCAGGTTTTCTATCCATTTTTCCTTCAGATTAGGTTGTGTCAAAGTTGCCAGAATATATATAGGCCACACACAGTTAATATCCTGTATTAGAAAAATGCATTGTTATTTTTGGCCCAATGTTGTATCTTTAAACCAGTTGACTTAGCTTGATAACACATGGCCATAACCTGCTAAATGCAAGTTCCTAGTATCCTAGCCTTACCTGTCTTCAACATTTCTATTTTCTGACCAATTTCTATTATTTTCAGTTTTTGTACTCCTGTCTAATTATTTGTTTGCAGCTGTACAGTCACATCTTAAATCTAACAGCTTTTGCTCTGGTGTTGTCTACTTTTCTCTCTCCTTAGCTACATTTATGCTTCCATCTACTCCAGTAACAATTTAGCTCCAAAGCAGCCTGACTTCCAAGAATCTACCATATGCCAGTGATCCCATAGAGGCTGTCTTAGCCCATGCAAAGGCTCAGACATTCAAGGCATATACCTATAATTCTAAGAGTACCTAATTGCTGTGAAGCTACAGAGGAACTAGTTGTAACTGTGTGGTCATTTTGCCTTGCCGATATGATGCAGAAGGAAGAAGACTCAGTGTCTAAAGAAAAGAGCTAGAATATACTATCATATTCCAGTTAGTTGAAGTGGAGCCTGTTCATCCTAATCTACTGCTATTTCCTCTTCAGACATATTTGGAATTCCCAGATCCCAGTGTTCCCAATGTAGCTACACAATTTCATGGAGATTAATGCCTAATGATGTTAGAGCAAGTCTGCAAAAGTAATTTTTCTTATGATTATCCTGAAGGTGGAAATTGAAGTATGAACCTGTGACCTTCCATTACTATTTAGCATGTACATTGCAAGTACTACTCTTTGTTGAATCTCCCAAATTGTTGGGGGTAATGAGGAGTAAAGAAGGTTTCAATTTATCATAACCTACAGCGTTTATGCTGCTCAAGTTTTTTCCCTTCAAGCATTGTTTCTAGATGGATTTTTAGAAAGAAAGATGAATTATTTCTTACAAACTGCTGTCAGTTGCAGTCCAGATGAACATATAGGGATAACTGGCTCATTGGTCATAAATTTAGACTGCTTAATCCAGTCTCTTTCAGGCCACCTCCAAGAAGAAGCAGATGCTACAGATGGAAAGAGAAGGAGCATACTTCGTACTAAGGCCAACTCAGTAGGCATGCTGCTAGAAAGAATGGCAGTGCAGGTTTTGGGGGAGGCTTGCTGATTTGGACATAGATGCCCAGGCTAGGTTACTCCATTATTATTGGTAGGACACTAATAAGTGATTATTCCCATGGCCTAACTCTGTCTTATCCCTTATCTCTATGAGTGAAGACTTCTGTTGACTCCTGAAATTAGAAAGAACTTTGGACAAGGAAATTCTATAGCTCACATTCTGTAGTCTTACTTATAGAGCTGGCTCAAATTTACCTCTTTCTTTTCTTCCTCCCTCTCCTTCCACTTTTCCTTCCTTACCTTTTTATTATGGAAATTTTCAAACACAAAAGCGAGGAGAAAATTATAATGAACTCCTATGTACCATCGTCCAGCTTCAACAGTTACTAACATTTTGCTAATTTTGTTCCATTTATTTATGTGTGTGTGTGTGTGTGTGTGTGTGTGTGTGTGTGTGTGTGTGTGTATCTGTATATTTTTTCATGGAATATTTTACAAGTCCCAGACATGTCATTTCATTAGGATATTCTTCAGTACACATTTCTAACAGATAATGACTGTTTTTCATAACCATAGTGCCACTTACAAAGTTAGCAGTAATTCCTTAGTAATCTCTAATATCTTTTGCTCAGTCCTTATTCACATTTCAATTGTTACAAAATGTCATTTTATAGCTGACTTATTGAAATCAGCATCCAAACAAGGTTTAAACATTGTAATGGTTCTTATATATCTTAAGTGTTTTAAAACTTTTTAAATCTCACTCTCTTTTTCTTGTTAATTTATTTTTTGTAAAAACAGACATTTATTCTAAAAGCATATTCTACATTCTGGATTTGGTTGATTGTTTTCTTATGTCTTTTTTTTACTTTATTTTGACATATTCTAGTGTATCTCATTCTCTTAATGTATTATTTTTTTATTGAGGTATAATAGTTGATAGACAATATATTGGTTTCAGTTACACAACATAGTGATTTGACAGTTATCTATATTATTAAATTTTCTCCCCAACTACTGTAGTTACTGTCAATGTAGAAAAATATTACAGTATTATTGACTTTATTTTCTATGCTGTACTTTCATCCCTGTGACTAATTTACATTATGATTCAGATTTTGAGCCTCTTTATTCTCTTTACCTCTTTTACCCATCCACCCCAAACCCTCCCCCATAGTAATTTTGTAGTATCTTTTAAATGATTTCTCTATTGTTCATATTTCCTATAAAACTGGCAGTTAAAGCTAGTGCCTTGATTAGATTTTTGTTCAAATCTTTGGTAAGCATGCCTTCATTCATGTCACAAATAACAAGATTTCCCATTTTAAGAAGAGGGGCCCCCAAGGTTATGTTTCAAATCTTTTTGCCTGCTATAAAACATTCTGAAAGATAATTGGGGTTTGTTTGTTTGTTTGCTTTTAATACAAGAAGACATTTGTAAACCATTAACAAAACAAAACATTTAGAAAAACCAATACATTATATTTACACAGACTGGGTGATCTCACAATCACCAGTCAGAAACTTGTGAAGCTTTATAAATCTCAGACAAATAGAAGTAACTAGAGAAGAGCAGCACTGATGGAGGTAAGAACCCAGGATAAGACATACATCACCCAGTGTATTCTATTGCATTTGCCCTGTTTTAACACAGCAATGTAGTTTTGCAATGATCTTACAGCATGTAAATTAAGCCCACTTGCTCCTTTAGCTAATATGGCTCTACAACTACTATTGTAGCAGGGCAGGACACTGGCTCCAGGTATTTAAAAAACCCGTAACTAAAGGGTCTCTGTACAAGCCACACAGGAGAAGTCTAGAATTTTGAAAAGTTAAGGGTTTTCAGTTCTTGCTTTTTATGCTCATTCCTGGGCAGCACAGCTGAGTACAGGTCTATCATTTTTAAAACCTTTGCTTACCAACTCAGATCTTTAGACACACATGCATAGTAGGCCTAGCTTAAACCAGTGAAGGATGGATCTGGATTTGAAGCAAGTCCCGTGCTTGAATTAAAGATTTGGAGTAAGTATCCTTTATTATGTATATGGACAGCCCTTCATCTAACCTTGGCTTCCTCTCTAGACCCTTTACCTGGCCCAGCCTCTAAGCACTCTGCACCAGCTTTTTAACTCATCTTCTTTTCCAGTCTTCAGTAGAAGGGGATCAAGACTTGGGGCAAACAAATTAAAACCAAGTCTCCCATGAAACATTTTCAAGATGAAGGAGTTTCAAGAGAACAAAGAATGTAATGGCTTCCACATTGGGTCTATCATTCTGGTCTTAATGCCTAATCTTTTCAATCTGGCCTAGGAAATATTATTATATATACATCTTTAAAGGGAAAACCACTTCCCTATCCAGGCCACTTTCTAAAGCTTAAAATTGTGAGAGTGGAGTCTCAGATAAAGTATGCACATTCTAAGAGATGTCCATGAAAGCCCTCACTTGAGTTTGATAGCAGTGTTGGAGTCCCTTTTGCCTCACTCTCCCCCTTACCAAGAAGGAAGAGGGGTTGCTGTTGTGGCTCCTGGTCTAAGACATACGGCAATGCCAACTGCCCCCTACCCTTCCTGTCTATCCTGCTTGCTCCACTCTTGGCTAATTGACTCCTGCTCCTTGAAATTTTCTCACTGCAAAAACGTAGTCACTCACCCACCATAGCTAAATTCTATGCCTCTGAAAATAGG